AACAGCACAGAGTGAGCTTGTGAAATCTCGTCCATGTGGCCGGGAGGTCTCTGAATTAACTCCTGTGTAGAATACAGTATTTATTAAGGTGTCAGTACTCATAAATGTGCTCACTGGAAGCTTACATAGATATCATTGAAACAGTGACTGCCATGGTTTTCTGCAACTCAGACCAAAAAAGGATTCACGTTAGGAGTACTTTTATCACTGAGATGGCTTAGAATTGCTGTCACCAGATGGTGATAAAAATCAGACTGACTTTAGTTTCATCATTCTTTTCAATGGGCTTCACACGCCCTGTCTTATTGTCTGCTCCCAGCAGACCCTTCCATTGCCTGGGAAGGTGTCTTTTGCTCAGCACAAGGAAACAAACAAATCAGCAAATGGAAGCGCCACCTGCAGGATGGGTCTGGTACCGGAGAAGGAGTGGCAGCAAGGAGGCCCACTTTTTCCAAAAACTGGTCTGGAAAACCCTTCCCGAACCTTCCAGGTATACGCAGCCGCCCTGCTCTGCTGCTCCCTCCCCAGGATCCCCAGGCCCAGCAGCCGCACATACTGCAAGTCCAGCTCTGTTCACACCTCGACGAAGTCTTTCCAGCTCCCTGAAATCCTAAACGAAAAATTACCCTAATAACTAGTAATCGTTAGTTGCATATTGAGTTTCTTTGGGACTAAAGCTAAAGGTACACTGTAATAAATCGTTTTAATTTGGGAGACAGGGAAATAAACAGAACTTTTTTTTTTTAGCAAATCAAAGTTATTCTTCAAAATTGGCACTAGAGCCCTGTGGTAAACAGATTAAAGCTTCCCAAAGAGGCCTGTCAAATCCCCAGAGCCTGTGAACGTGCAGAGGTGCGCTGGGTGCAGGGGGCCAGCAGGCAATGTTAGGGCAAAGACCTGTTTGCACTGGGTGGGGACGGAGTGCCCAGCCCGGCCACAAACACAGCTGGACGCCCAGGGCCCTGGGCACAGATGGGCAGGCAGGTCCTCAGCGGGGCTGGGTCCTCTCGACCTCGGAGCTCATGGGCGAGCTGGACCGAAGGCCTCGCATTGCAGCCACTGTGCCCTTACTAAGGCTGTGACCAGCTTCAAGCACGTGGAATGTTCTCATTAGTTTGGAGTCTGGATAAGGCACCAGGGGTGGACCGGAGAGGAAACTTGACCTACCTTAGGTGTGAGTTCAGGGTCTGTTCGGAGGCGCTTTGCTTTTCAGGGGTCACGTTTCATAATAACATCTGGGCTGGCGTCAGTATCCCAGGGCTGCCC